CGTTGTACCATCCTCTACCAATAATCCTGTCTGTAATTAAAGTCCACCGCTAATCATAGGCTTCCCCCATAGATTTCTTCATAGAGGAGATGATATTTTATAGAGTAAGGGTAATAAACGAGCATACAGTACGCTTGGTGGTAAGTGGATGCGATGACCCATATACATTTATCCTCGATTGAGAATCAAAATGCAGATGCGTCGATACCCCTGAGGATTAAGATGAATGCCTCGATTCCAGTAAAACGGATCTCCGGTTCTCTACACTCACCATGCGAAATAGCAGCATTAAGCTGCTATTTTATGCTGGTATTCTGTGAGAGTGTGGTCCTTCCCCGGTCGAGTCGTAATATGGCTGCAGCAATAGATATTTGCTATTGTTGCCAGGCTTTGTAAGCGGGTTGGCAACCGCATTTTTTATTTTTAGTCTTTATTAAGAAGACACTGCTGCTCATCTGATTTGTCTCCCTCTGTCGCCTCTTACGACACCCACGGGATGATATGGAGTAGTGGATACTCTAACACCGCTTACTACACGCCAGAAGTAAAGATCGTGTAATTTGAAAAATATAGCATCATACGTGTTGTTTGTATTTTTTTTTAATAAAATTCAGGTGGCAAACGAACCTTTAGTCCACTTGATGGTAAGTGGGTATTGCAGTCCGTGGATATCTGCAGCTACCTTAAGGTCTAAGATGGAATGCGTCACAAGTGTGTTACATACAAGTGTGTATGCAATTCATCGGCTGAACATAGATCTCGTAGATCATAGATCTTAATATATATATTTATATTAAGGGGATATCTGCCATAGATGCCAAGCTTGTAAAGCAAACTGGCAACCACAGTTTTTTAATGTTCTAGTTGTAATTGGCAAGATTCTGCTGTCTACCTCCTGGTTTTCAATAGTTGCTACAATATGGCAAAAGAGGAGGCAGGTTGGAAAAGTTGCTTTATCAGAAAAATGCTGCTATCATCTCCTGTTAAAGTTTCGCTCTGTCGCAACTATTACAACATATTACAACACCTACAGAAGTGGTGGAATGGTAAAGTGAGGTGTGTATATGTACTCGTATTTCGTAGTAACAGTCCATCTTATTCAGATCCCCGAGGATTAAAAACATCTTATATCCGTCCACTACCATCTACAGACGGCGAGGCCGGCTCTGCTCTTCCTGACCGAGACGCAGGTGTCCTCTCCGGCTGATGTCTCGTATCTCTCCTACCCGGGGTACAAACTGGAACACTCCGTTGTGCCTCGGGCTGGAGTTTGCGTTTACGTCAGAGAAGACATCTGTTCTCGACGCCTCGGCAGACTTGAAGGTTCGGACCTGTCCATCCTTTGGCTACGCGTAGACAGCGACGACCATCCGCGCGTCTACGGGTGCCTCTATAGGTCCCATAGCGGTAATGCCGAAACAGACCGACTCTTCGACCACGTCCAAATGGCTACAGATTCGTTCGGCGACTTTAACGCCCATCACTCCGAATGGCTTGGTTCACGTTTAACCGATCATGCGGGGAGATCTGTTCATGATTTTGCCTTGGCATATGGTCTGACACAACTGGTTACTTCGCCTACGCGGATTCCAGATGTGGAGGATCATGCACCTTCCCTATTGGACCTTCTGCTGACCTCTCACCCGGACGGATATCGGATTTCCGTCGAAGCCCCTTTAGGCTCCTCGGACCATTGTCTTGTCCGGAGTGTGGTGCCACTCACGCTGAAATCGCAGTTGCATTCTACAGGCTGCCGCCGTGTTTGGCACTATAGGTCAGCCGATTGGGATGGGATGCGGTCTTTCTTTGCATCCTACCCTTGGGGGCGGGTTTGCTTCTCGCCGGAAGATCCCAACGTTGTTGCGTATTCTATCGCTGATGTGGTACTTCAGGGTATGGAACTTTTTATTCCTTCCTCTGTGGTGCCCATTGGAGGCAAATCTCAGCCATGGTTTGGTCGGTCCTGTAAAATAGCATCATGCTATAAGCAGTAGTGCTACCGAGCCAGGTCTGACGCATCAGCGTCCCGGGATATAAACACCAGCGCTATAAAAAAGAAGTATAATTCCGCCTCTAGGTCCTTCAAAAGAGTCATTGCCAAGGCAAAGTCAGAGCACATAGGCAGAATTGGCGAGAAACTAGTTCGCCTTCCTTCTGGAACCCGTGCATTCTGGTCTCTCACCAAGGCTGTCCAGGGGAATTTCTGTCAGCCATCTCTTCCATCTCTGCACAGGGAGGACGACTCACTGGCCCATACCGCAAAGGAGAAAGCCGATCTTCTAGGCACATTCTTTGCGTCCAACTCGACTCTCGATGACGGGGGGAGTACGCCGCCGACCATCCCGCGGTGTGAGTGCTCCATGCCGGAAGTGCAGTTCACACAGCGCTCGGTTCGCAAAGCACTCCTCTCCCTGGACATCCACAAGTCGAGTGGGCCTGACGGAATGCCCCCAATTGTGCTGAGGACGTGTGCTCCAGAGTTGGCACCGGTTTTAACGCGTCTTTTCCGGTACTCCTACTCCCTAGGCGTAGTCCCAAAATCATGGAAGACGGCTTTCATCCACCCGATCCCTAAAAAAGGCGACCGCTCAGACCCGTCGAACTAATGGCCTATCGCCATCACCTCCTTGTTCTCCAAAACAATGGAGTCTATTGTAAACTGCCAGCTCATGAGGTACCTTGAGGATCACCAGCTGATAAGTGACCGCCAATACGGTTTTCGCCGTGGCCGGTCAGCTGGTGATCTTCTGGTCTACCTAACTCATAGATGGGCGGAGGCAATAGAGTCCAAGGGGGAGGCGTTGGCCGTTAGTTTGGACATTGCGAAGGCCTTCGATCGGGTTTGGCACAAAGCGCTTCTTTCGAAGCTCCCTTCCTATGGGCTTCCCGAGAAATTTTTCGATTGGATCACCAGCTTTCTTGCAGATCAGAGCATCAAGGTCGTTGTAGACGGTGCAAGCTCCGATCGCAAGCCTATTAATGCTGGTGTTCGACAAGGCTGCGTGCTATCGCCAACGCTGTTTCTTCTGCATATCAATGATATGTTGCAGACCCGTAACATTCATTGCTATGCAGATGACAGCACTGGCACAGCTCTTTACACCGGCCGAGCCAATATTTCTCGGGAAAACGTCTCCGAGTGCCGGGACAAACTTGTATCTGAAGTCGAGTCTTTGCTGAACAGAGAGAAGGCCAAATTGGCCTCTAATAAGCTTGGCGTGCTCAGCAGAGCGGGACAGTATTTCATGCCGGCACACCGCCTGCGACTTTACAAGGCGCAGGTTCGACCGCACATGGAATACTGTTCCCATCTCTGGGCTGGGGCTCCCCAGTACCAGCTCCTTCCACTTGACCGCATCCAGCGCAGAGCGGCTCAAATCGTCGACGACCGAGTGCTTTCCGATCGGCTCGATTCACTGGCACTGCGAAGAGATGTTGCATCTCTTTGCATTTTATTTCGCATATACCATGGAGAGTGCTCTGAGGAATTGTTCGGATTAATCCCAGCCGCCAAATTTCGTGAACGCACTACGCGGCAAACGTCCCGATAGCATCCACACCATCTGGATGCTTGGCGGTTCACCACAGTACGTTTCAAAAGGAGTTTTCTTCCGCGTACAACCTCTCTGTGGAATAGTTTACCACCGGCGATTTTTCCGGACCGATACGACCTGGGGACCTTCAAGAAAAGAGCTTTCTCCTTTCTAAAGGGCCGGCAACGCATCTGCAATTCCCCTGGTGTTGCGTTTAATCATGGGCGGCGGTAGTAACTTAACATCAGGTGAGCCGCATGCTCGTTTGCCCCCTCTTCTATAAAAAAAAAATCTTAGTTCACATGCATTTTGAAAAATCAAGTTTTACGCATTTGAGATATCCTGGCATTTCAGCTGCTGAAGAAATTAGTTTGTCATTTTCCTTATATTTGACTTGATTTTATGACGCTGACATCTCTTTTAGGCTAGGAACAATTATTTGTAGGTCATACAAATACTTGTACCGTACGGGATTCGAATCCACGGCCGTAGCGCCGCATCCAAAATCCAAGTGTATTTCAAAAATGAAATTTAATAAAATGTTCCTTCTATATTATAGTATTTCAAGTTTTAAAAAAAAACTAATTGTGTGCTTGGTGACACTTCAAAAGTGCATTTAATTAGAATCAGTACAAATTTGTCACAAGTATACAATAAATACAAAGTTTTATAAAATTAAACACTGTAAGTAATCTTATGAGGATTGTCTTAAAAAAGTTTTATTAAAAAGTTTTTTTTTTACATTTTTACAATCCGTTAAACTAATTTAATAAGGCCGCTCTTAAAATAATTTATATATTATTAATGTTTGTTAACCTATCATAAATCGTTATACATGGCAACCATTTACATTAATTCAGTTTAATTTTGTACTTTTTTTATTTTATCTCATACCTACTAACTGTGTATTCAGTTTTATTTCCGTTTTGTAGTTAAAATAATATTAAAATCTGTGAATAAAATAATCTACAAGATACTAATACTATTTCATGTGTGACTTAGATTTGAAGCAAACTAACTATAACGTTGTTAAAAAAAATAGTATTTAACTATGATATTTAGCAAACACTGTTCATTTTATCCATGGATATTTTTGGAGGAAGGTATTTTTTAAGTTTTTAAGTAAAAGTAACAGCTTATATAAGTTTCACTGCTGGGCACAGACCTCTTCCCACTTTTGAGAGGGTTTCAGGGCAAGGAAGTGTCCGCCGCGGTGTCCCTATGCGTGTAGGCGGATTTCACATCTTTAAAAATTAATTTTTTATTTTTCGGACTTGCAGGTTTCCTCATGATGTTTTCCTTCACCACAACAGTATGTGGTAAATCAGCACTTAAAATTCAATTAACACTTTCTTTAGTGCCGACAGGGATCGAACCCGGGTTGCTCGCGTACTGTGAAATTTACAGCGAGCGCTAAATTACTGAGCTACGACACGGCTCGTTCAGAGCAGTTTTTCGGTAGTCAAATTAAACCAAACTAGAAGTACCAATCTGTCCAGCAATTCCTTTCCCAGTTGGCAGGATATTAACTCTTTGTCCTGAAAGGTTGTCAGAGCCTTCTACGTGGCCGGATAGACTAGGAGAGGGACCTTGAGAACTCCCGTAGACTTTGGTACTATACCCCGAATCATTATGTGATTCTCTGTCAGTTTGGCTTTGAGTTTCGGTTAAATGGGTATTAATTGCTAAGGACTGCAAACGGCTATGCAGCAAATTGTGGTCAGGAGGTGGTTTCCTTAAGCCATGTGAATTCCCTCTAAAGTTTGGGTACACTGGTGGACGGTTACCGTAGTAACCGCCGCGAAAGTGATCGTTCTGGTTAGCGATTTCAATTTCAGTATTTTGGTCCAAATGATCACTGTACCGGTGAGGTATCCGTTCCATCTCCCTCATTATATGATCCTGCATCATTGCATCGAACACTCCAGTCTGGTGGTGGTACAAAGGATTTCTGTTTCGACCTTGTATTTGTGTTTGGGGTAGTCCCGGCTCATTGTAATCATACTGGGGTTGACAAGGGTATTGAGGTGTTGCGAGCCCATCTTCTAACATATCTCTGTAAGGCATTTGATGATTGATTTGTCTGGTTGGAAGCTCGTGAAAATAGGCGTCTTTTGGAATCATGGAGCGCATTTCCTCCGTATGGTAAGCTTTGCTTTGTGGTTGTGCTTTTTGTGGCGCAGGCGAGTGGGATTTGCTAGACATAGTTTCATAATTTGGCAATGGCAGTGTTTGAAGTAAATTTGAATTTCGCATAGGTCCGGGTTGGTTTGTGCTCCTTATGGGACTATCTTCTTCGTCACTACTTTCAGAATTATTGCCATTATCTTTAGGCGGTGTTTGAAATGTTTTTCTCGTTGGGAACGGTATCAGGTTGTGCAAACTGAACCTTTTGCTTTTCGGTGGTTTTTCTTTTAAAACAGGCGCTGGCCTTTGCGGCTGTTGAGGCATTTTAAGTATACTCGGTTGAACTTTAGGCGGAATAATAGGAACTTTTGGGATATCGGTGGGTGCATTTCTGGGTAAAGGTGTTCTTTCTGGAGAGGTGCATCTCTGTTGGTGTTCCACTTGAGCCACTAACTCTTGAACGGATTTTCTATTTTCTTTTTCTAAACCACTATCTTCACTCGACGGGTAATTAACTTGTTTATGAAGCTTAACATAGCCATCTTGTGATATATCTAAGGATTTAGAATTTCTAGATATTACATTTGACATTTCCTTTTCAAGCATTCCTCGTTTTCTGATATCATCAGCCGTTCTTTGAAGCACTTGACTTTTCCACGTAGGTGTATTTTGGGAGCTTTCTATATTACTTCTGTGTACAACTTCACCTTCAGAATCACTAGCTTTAAAGTCTGACTGTCGGTTACTACTGCTAGGTGACTTGGTAGTTGATTGTTCGCTTGGTAACGTATACCTTTCTGTGATACCTTGGACCTCCATTGAAACTGGTGATTCAGACACAACAATTTTATCAGCTTTGAGGTGAATTTCTGCTGTAACATTCTGCAAGCAACTATTATCCTCGCATACATTCGTAATTGATATTGTATGATTAGATCTACTTGGTCCAGCGTCTAATTGGTCACTACTTCTAGAATTTTTAAGAATATACTTTCGCCTTTGATTTATAGGTGACCTATTATCTAGACATTCGGTGCTTTTAGAGTTCATATTGCTATCGTTCAATTCTTTGGCATTAGTTTCAAATTGTTCAGTGTTATTATCGAATTTTTTTATGATTCTATGAACTTTGTTCCATTCTTCGGAGTTTGCATCTAAGAGTTCTAAGCTCCTAGTTCTTTTAATAGGTGCTATATCTACGGACCCTTTTGGACTAAAGTCTAACTTTCTCGTTCTTTCTGAAGCTCTGAACACCATGCCTCTCGTTATCCATTGCTCTAAATGCTTATGCCTTTCTTTACAAAGAGCTCTTTCAGCAGCTACAAATTTAGTTAGTTCTGAAATCTGTCCTTGCGTTTTCATTTCTAAATCTGTGACTTTTTGATCTAATCTTTCGTGGGCTTTGTCGATATGTCGCTTTAAATCTTTCTTGTCTTCGTTTAATTTTTCTTCCATATGCTTGAAGAAAGGTGCACAGTAGCAAGTGTATCCAGCTCCGATGGGTCCCTTTTTAATGTTTCCAGCCAAATCCAAAAAGTATTGCTCACCTTTTTTAAGTGGTTCGGTGGGTAGCGAGCTTAGTTTGGGCTTGGGGAAGTATTTGGGATCGGGGTAATAATGGCAGCCATATGGTGACCACTGAACAGGGGGCGGGGTCGTTTCGAAGTGAACATTTTTCTTCTTTTTGTCCTTTCCTTTATCTTTTTTCTTTGCATCGTCTGGTTCGTCTATAGTCCTTTCTTTGCTTTTATCTCTGTGTTTTTCTTTCTTTTTTGGTTGTTTCGCTACCGGCGTATTAAGTATGTTGATGATTTCTTCTAGTCCTTTTCTAGTAGCGATGTCTCTGGCCGTTTCTCCTTGATGGTTTCGTAAAGATTTGTCGCAGCCCGCTTCTAGTAATATCCTTGTTAATTTTCGACGACCCATTGCGGCTGCAATATGTAAGGCCGTGTCGCCGTTTTTATTTTGCTCTGAGACTTTGCATTGTGCTGATATGAGGATACGTGTAACACCAGCGTGGCCGTACCGGGCAGCAGTGTGTAATGATGTATCACCGTACTGTAAAGAAAAAAAATTGCCATCGTTATAAGAGGTAGGTTAAAAATATAATTAGGACAAAAATACTAAACAGTAATATGTCAGTAACTGTAATTTTTGGTTACATATAATATATATGTATGCATAGATAGCTTCACGCCTGTCATCACCGAGAGGATAGTCAAAGTTTAAAAAGCAACGAGCTTTCGGATCACATTTAGTCAGTAATTGCAAAATTATCATTAAGCAGTAAATGCAAAATTCTGAAAGAAGTGATAGTTGGTTAACTCGCATATACTCACAAACCCATTTAGTCGCCTTTTATGGCGTGCTAGGGAAATAGCACAGTTGAAACATAATTTTTTGTAATAAGTCCCTCATAAAATAATTTGTAGGTCCCACATATAACACCAACACAGGAAAAAAATCTGATATTGACATTCTGATGTTCTGTTTTGTTAGGAAACCCACTTTTCTGTTTTTACGTTACTCACAGACACAACAGAACTGATCGGCTGGGTTGGTTTGTCCAAACAGTGCGTGTACTACTGTCTTTCAGTCCTTACAAGTCATCAGAAGACTCTAGGTTCGTATCCCGGCAGGGTCGCCATGAAATATTGGAAGGTGTTAAATGAGAAGAGAGGCGTGTTACTCTTGTTATGACCTTAATTATACTACCTTATTCTAAACTAAACACTAATACTTATAAATTGTCGTGGGGGCTACACTACAAAGGTATAGTGTAGGTATATTAGCCGTCAGGGGCGACAATGCATTTGTAAATCTATTTTTGTTTGAAGTTGGTTCAATGCGTCCATGAGCTGCAGTAGATTTACACCTGTAAGCTTGTTTGTTTATTCAGTTTTATAAAAAATACTTTGGTATAAAACTGCTGTATTTCAGTCGGTAAGTGACAAAAATCTAAGACACTTTTTACGGTCTATAGATGTGTGTTACGTATTTCGTGACGAAAACCTGGGACATAATTTATTGGAGATGATTCATTAAATTTTAGTCCTCAAGGGTGACGCATCTGTATCTTCAGCCTCCACTTACCATCGGGTGGACTGTGAGCTCGTTTTTTTAGAATAGAATAGAATAATTTTTATTCAGTATAGTTCAAAAGTACATATTGTATTGAAAGTCATTTAAGCTCTACCACTGGTTCGGAAAAAAACCTCTGTCCTGGAACGAGCCAGCAAGAAACCCAGCGGGACTTCTTTTAAACATTAATCTACAATATAATATTGTTACGAGCTTGAGGTTCGTGACAGTAAAAACTGCCGATTGAATTACCAAAATTTATACTTTTATTACAGAAAACCAATTAAAAGGTAAAACAATAATAATTAATCACACTGATTCACTTTATTTCGCTCCGAAGCTTCGCTTGTCTCGCCAAATTCAATACTGCCCCGATCGCGGCTATCAACGGCTTTATATAGGCAGTGGCGAAGCTAGGGCTCCAAACTAGGGCAAGCCCAAGAAATGGTTTTGTTGTTTTTAGCAGTTTTATAAAAATACACCAATCTTGATCTGTCTCCATTATTTAGTTTCATATTCACTGCTGTCGAGGACGTGTTTAACAAAGCACACAGAAGGCATACTACTGCTAGATAGGTTGTATGACCGTAGAATCAATCAATTTTCGTTCGATAAAATACCTATAGAATTAAGTAGATGGCGCTATTAAAATTTAATATACTGAAGACTAAAGGAAATAATTTTTAAAAACCTCAATACATGATGTATTCATTTAATTTATTAAATTAAAATTTGGGTTTCACATTAAAAAAAAGATTGTAACAATTATTTGCTATAAAATTAAACTTATACCTAGGTATCTCATATTTTATGCTGCAGTTCAAAATGATATTTTTAACTCATATGGTAATATAAGTATTGAGTTATTAAACCTTTAAATACGCTTAGAATAATTAAACTTTAATACTAAAGAGCCCTGTACCTATTAAAGTGTGAAGAAATGTTTATTGAATTAAAATTTTATTTTTAAAGATTTTACCTTTTCCTCGCTGATTAGCACTTTAACACACTTATATTCATCACAAAGAACACTCTTTTCCTCCATTTTCACTAAAAATCTTTAAAAAAGTATAAATTTTCAACTCACAATATTTTACATTATAATATATTCGCTCAAGCTAACACACAATGTAAACATTGAAATGTGACGTGAATTTGCAAACATATCGTCGGCGTCGCCCGCGCGCCTCCGTGTCTCGACTAACTTCATACCTAACGTGACCATACGTCGCCCTTTAGGCAGGATGTTCCCGATTTAAAGGTTTGTGTCGCGCTGCCCCCAAATACGTAAATACTAAATACGTAAAAATGTCCCGCTTTGACAAACAAAAGCGTGACAATCATGCAAACTCTGTCACCCGTGCCATTATTGTGACACCGCGCGTACCAGGTTTGCCAGCATGGCTTGTATAGTTACGTGATTATTCTGAAAAGCTACACTTTTGAATTTAAAGGTACCAAGTGTACAATTTTTAATTAATCTACTATAAATTATCTATGTTTCATTATAGAACATTTTGCCACAGGTTAGAAAGGGAGCGATCGCCTTCTCGAAAGCCCGGTAAAAAGCCCACGTGTGCGAGGGAGACAACTAATGGCTCAATTCAACTCTCCTTATATGTATGACAGCAGTATTCCTAAGGCTACGAGGTCGCACAGAGCGCGCGGGAAATTTGAAATAGTTTGAAACACTTTACAAGTTATTTTATTACTTGATATTATTGATTGATTCAGCTTGATAAGGCAAGCCGGGCTTCTGGGCTTGTATGGAGGCTTCGCCACTGTATATAGGGCTCTTCCACGAAAACATCCAGAATATTCCAGTAAATAAGGGGCCCCAACCGACCAGGCGCAGAAAGTTCGAGTGTGGGGCTTCTAGAAAGCTTAGTTCCTCAATTCGATACTAGATGGCGCTGTCATGGCATTTTCTGGAAAGCTCTCCTCGCTCTGTTACCCGACACTAGATGGCGCTAGTACCAGGTTCCAGCCGTCAACTTAGGCGCGCAACAATATATTATCTATCTAATCTAATACCTTTAAACGAGCAATTCTTGTATATATAATCAGAATCTCGGAAACGGCTCCAACCATTTTCATGAAATTTATGCAAGGGGTTTCGGGGGCAATAAATCGATCTAGCTAGGATTCGTTTTTAGAAAATGTCGTTTTCTCCGTGTTTTCAGGTAGTTGGTTGCTCCTTTGTTACAATTATTCTATTAAAAAAATAAGATGGAGCGCATTTCTTTTCCGTCAAAGGTTACATCACCATTTACGGGAGTGTATTATCATCATCATCATCGTCACAGCTTATCAAAAGTCCCCTGTTGAACATAGGCCACCCTCATTAATCGCTTCATAGGAGGATTTTTGCCATAGTTGCCACGTTTGGCAGGCGGATTGACAAATAGTTTATTATTATTTTTAATAGTGTATTGTCAATTTCTACACAATTGCTTTTTGTACACAACCCCTTTTTAAATTTAAAGTTATTTGTTTTAAGAAGACGGTGACTGTAAAAAACCAGAGACCCTTTTTACTGGAAACGAGGCATTCCATGTTATTACTCAGGGTTGACAACTATAGTTCATAAAAGATAGCTTGATCTCTGCGACAGCTGTCAGTAAAAATCACGCCTATGAAGTCCTGAATTTCTTAGTAGTACAGACAGTACCTGTCAATGTCATACTTTATGGGCATGTCGATCTAATTAGTCGCATGCCCATAAAGTATGACATTGACAGGTACTGTCTGTACTACTAAGAAATTCAGGACTTCATAGGCGTGATTTTTACTGACAGCTGTCGCAGAGATCAAGCTATCTTTTATGAACTATAACAACACATCTGCAAATTGATTCTTAATCGAGAATAGATGTAGATGTCTATGTGCCACAGCATCCACTTACCATGACAATGTGCTCGTTTGTCACTCTCTATAAAAACCCTGGGAATGCGGTGATCGCTACCGTGTTCTTGTTCATATTTACATACTTAATTATGTAAAATATAATATCGTAAATTAATGTAAAAAAGTCCCGCTGGATTTCTTGCTGGTTCTTCCCAGGACTGCGGTTTTTTCCGAACCAGTGGTAAAGCTTAAATGACTTCCAATAAATGTTCTTGTAATCTATATTGAATAAAATAATTCTATTCTATTATATCTCTGTAACCCCCCGGTCACACACTCGTCGAGTGGTATGGGAAGTAGCGAGGAAAGGAAGCAGAGACAGTGTGGCCACAAAACTCCACATGACGTACTTTATACTCCTCGTCATGCCCATCGATCCTTGTTTTGTCGGTTTTTGGGGCGCAAGTTAAAGGATTAGTAATATGAGCGCAAGTAGCTGGCTAGTTGCATGCAGGCCACACACTCGCGCAAATGCAGTCCGGATCGAGCGCTCGTTACGGAAGCACATCACGTATATTTTAAAAATCATAAATAGTGTATTTACTACCATCATTCAGTCATATTATCACATGAGTAAATAATATACAGAGAAAAAGTTATTTTGACGACGACAACGTATATTTCTTTTTATGACATTGATATAATTAGGTATAGTTAATATGCATCAGCTCGCACGCTGCAACAGTTTCAACATCCATTGTGTTGCAAATGCGAGTGATTTATTGCGGACCGTCGTGATTAATTATTGCGCGAGTAGAGTAGTGTGTGAACAGACAGAGCATGGTGTGGCCGAGCCATAATAATTAATAATGTAAGATGGAGCCTCACATTGTTCTGCAAGTCCGGTTGCGCCCCGGCCAGTAGTAGTTCGCGGCAGGTCTGGTTGTGTCCATTCTGGCAGGCCAGGTGCAGCGGGGCGAAGCCCGCAGCGTTCCGAGATCTTAACTCCGCCCCGCCGCGAGCCAACAGTGCCGCACAACGAGAATAACCCTTCCACGCGGCCTCGTGCAACGCGGTATTGCCATGCTGTGAAAAAAATTAAATTAAATTAATTTTTATAGTCTAATACAACAGTTTAAAGACGTTATTTAGATTATTTTTCTGCCTAGGAGTCCGTTTGTCTAGATACAATCCTCTTCCCTATTTCTACTGCGAAACAGCAATGCGTAAATTGCTATGTTCCGATCTGAAGAGTGTAGAGAGCCAGAATAGTTACAGGATGTGAGGCATTCTTAGCCCTCAAAGGTGATAACGCATACGGGTGGGTTATTTATGTACATATTCTATTTTTATTATACACCTTATAATAAAGGATATAAAGGGCGGACTTATTGCCTAATGGCAGTCTACAAGGTCACCCTAGGTGGTTTAAGAAACTGCGGCAAATGTAAACTATCACTTTATAAATGTAATAAATAAGTAATAAAGATATAAGGATCAATAAAGTTAAAAAGTTTAAAGTTACATCTCACTCTTGGGCACAGGCCTCCGCTCATTTCTGAGAGTGTTTTAGGGCAAAGAATTGTCCGCATACAGAGGTGCAGCATACATTGTGTACGTACACAGTTTATTTAAATATTCTGATTCTGATCCTGCGCTGTCCCAATGCGTGTTTGCGAACTTCACATGTCTTCGAAATATATTTTTTCTTATTTCTCAGACATACAGGTTTCCTCACGATGTTTTCCTTCACCTCCGAGCACGTGGTAAATCAGCACTTAAAATTGCAAGTAACGGTTTCATTGGTTCCGGCGGGGATCGAACCCGGTTCGCTCGCGTACTATGAAATTCACAGCGAGTGCTAACCATCTGAGCTACCACGGCTAAGGTACAATAAAATTCAAATAAGTACAATATAGTTATTAAAATATATAGGTAGGTACTTAATATCTCTTTTTATAGAATAAAGGTGACGAACGAGCACACAGTCTACTTGATGGTAAGTGGATGCTGAGGCCCTTACACATTTACATTTATCTTTGAAAAAGATTCCAAATGTAAATGCATTGTCACCCCCGTGGACTAAGATGGAATGCCTCGTAAAAAGGCTCTCAGGTCTATGGGCCTTACCATCAGATGTGTTCGTTTGTAATCCTTATTCTATAAAAAAATTAGTATGCGGCTCACCTGATTTGTTATCACCGATTGCACCGGAGTAAACGCAGGTGCGTTTCGAGTCTTATAGGGCTACATTTTTCCTAGAAAGTCAGAGTTCTGGTTGGTACCACTGACTGTCTTACAACTTGAAGGGTAAGATGTGAGGCATCCCATCTGAGTCTTTATGAATGGCGATGCATCTGTAGTCTACTTTGTTTAAACCCGCAGATACTTAGGCAACAGTAGCCACATATTATATTTAAGTACTTTTAACTAACTAGTACCCACCACATGATCTTGCTTGTTTGGGTCGGCTCCATGCTCCAGGAGTAGTCGCACAACCTCTACGTGGCCGTCTGCAGCCGCGCGTTGCAAGGCACTGCATCCGTTCTGAAAAGATAGATGTACCTATTATTTTTCTTAAAATTTAAAGGGGTATTTACATAGTCGACATATAACAAAATATGAATTACCAAAAAATTTTCTCGTGTGAAATTAAAGCAGCATAATACCAGCGTAAAATAGAAATAGCAGCTGAACCGAAGACCCTTTTTATTAGAAACGGGATATTCCATCTTAGTCTTGAGGTGTGACAACCCATCAGCATTTTGATTCTTAATCGAGAATAGATGTCGACGTGTATGTACCACAGCATCTACCTACCGTCAGGTGGACTGTGTGTTCGTTTGCAACTCTTATTCTCTTATTCTAAAAATATATACATATTTTAATAGTGAAGAAAAATAAGTCGATGAAAATTGTTAAACGCAAATTAAAATATTATTTGAATTTCGAATCGTATTGAGCTATTAAAGATTAATTATGAAGTATGTTTTTAAGCGGGAAAACATGAAACGTAATCAAATTGCAAATGAACTGCCCCGAACCAAACTTGCAGGTTTGTTCTTAACAGCCGGTTTTGCATAGATCGATGATAGTTTATTAATTGAAAATTTATGACTGGAGTGATTTAAAGAAATTGATTTATAACAAAACTCTCGCATTCTAATAATATAGTGATTATGAAACAAGTAGGTCATGCACACTGAGATTATGATGATTACTTCCGGTTTCATTTCGCTGAAGCTTATAGTTTTAATTTGCAATAAAAATATTAATAGAACTTTCTCAATTAAAGACGTGTAGGACGGCGTAAGTGAAACCACCACACCGCATCATCCCGGAGTTTTGTAAGAGGCAGTGGGAAAATAAATCAGGAGATGGGCAGCAGCATTTTTCTAATAACATCCGGCACCAACTCGTCTGCCAAGCTATTTTTTAAAAAGTAATCCCCACAATAAGATTTTCTCCTGTGTCGTGGATTCAGTTTACACTAATAAATACTTATTCCGTGCGGGATTTGAACCTGCGACCCTTAGCGCTACAAATCATTGCTTAGACACGGTTAAAAATAGGCAACTATATCAAATATCCCTTTATGATGTAAACTATGGAGTCCTCTGTCTCCATACTCCGGACTCCCCAAAGTCCACAGTTGGACATATCTAGCAGTGGACTTTTGATAAACAGATGTGAACACAATATGGAAAGATTAAAGGTTTTTAAAACTGATCTTCGAGGCGTATCTTTAGCTCCTTAATCGATTTCGATGTAATACTTTCGGCTTAACAAACGTAAGTTTCTTAAAAATGAAAGCGTGACAAACAAGCCTACAGTTCAATTGAGTTCAATTTGGGGGGGGTTCAATTGAGGGGGGGTGAGTCGCTCGCGTCCGTAGGCTTCGACCACCTAACCTTAGGCCCACCCTACACATGTTCCCCGGGTGGTGCTAAACGAGCGACAAAGCCGAAAAAAATAGACTCGGCTCCTCGCCGTATGGTAGCGGCGTACAATCTACCACCACCTCTTGTTCGCGCCATGACTCAGAAAATAAAAGAAATGACCCCGAGTTCCCGGCGCCCCTTCAATGGGGCAGGGGTGCGAAGAATCTCCGGGAGAAAAACCGGCGACGAGGTTCGCCACCCGTCACGTTCTATCTCCCGGAGGGGCGAAAAGTGGATTGCAGAAACCCGTCTGGCTACGCTGAATGTATGTGGAGGAATGAATGATAAGATGGATGAAGTATACGAAATGATGAATGACAGAGGAATAGATGTGTTATGTGTGAATGAGACGAAACGAAAGGGAAAGGGTGCCACTGCACATGGCACGTATACCGCGTATTGGTCTGGTGTAGACGAGACCGAACGGGCATGCCAGGGAGTCGGCTTCATCCTTTCAGAAAGAATGGGTCAATGTGTGAAAGAGTATGAATGTGTAACCCGAGGCTGCTTTGGATACTAATGAAAGTGGGCTTAAAGAAGCTGTTCCTGCTAGGGGTGTACGCCCCAGACATGTCTAAGCCCACTTATATCCGAGAGCAGTTTTGGGACATGGTAAGGATGGTGTTGACAAAATGTAAGGAAAATGAAAATATTATTATGTTAGGAGACTTTAATGGAAGGGTTGGGGTGAAGAGGTCTGGTTATGAAAGGATATTGGGAACGTTTGGTGATGAAAGTATAAATGAGAATGGTGAAGACCTCCTCACCGTATGTGTGGAAAAGAATCTCTTTGTGACGAATGCTTTTTTTCGTCATAAGAAGATTCGCATGTATACATGGGAAAGAGGTGATGATAGAAGCATGATAGATTTCGTAATTGTGGATGAAAGAATGAGGAGCGCAGTCGTAGATACAAGGGTTTACCGGGGGTCCAACGTAGGGACGGATCATTACTTGGTCTTATGTCGAATTAATGGTCTTTTCAAGCGTTGGCGGCATCGGACATCTGTGTCTACCACTGCGTTACAGCGTATAAGAATAGAGAAGTTACAAGATGAAGTTGTGAAAGAGAAGTATAAATGTAGACAGAGAAAATATTAGATGTATGAATGAGTTGTGTATGAATGATTTAGACTTGAATACTGTGTGGGATAATATTAAGAAAGGTTTGGTGGATGCCGCCACCGAAGTATGTGGTGTAAGTAAGAGAACAAATGAAAGGAAAAGTAATACGATGTGGTGGGATGATGAGGTACGGGTGGAAGTTGAATCAAAGAAGAAAGCATGGTTAGATTTACTAGCAACCAAAGCTGGTAATTCTTCTGGTATGAATGATTGAATGGAAAAAGAAAGAAAGAACGGATAAGAATGATAGAAGGATATCTGATAATTTCCAGGCTAACATAAAAATGTTCTGGAAACTCGTAGGAACTGCCAGGGGAAATACAAAACAGCCTCTAATGAATGCTATAAGAGACGAGAATGGATGTATTCTGAATGATGAAGTTTCGAATTTAAACAGATGGAAGGAATACTTTGAAAGCGTGTTTATGAGTTAAGAGTCGTCTGAATTAAATGAATTAGAAATTCCGAAAGAAGTGGAAAGGGGTATGGAGATAAGTGTAGATGAAATAATGAAAGCAATGAAAAGCATGAAAGCAGGTAAGGCAGCTGGATATGATAGAGTATCACTCGAGATGAAGTACACCTTGTTTAATTTATGTTGGGAATTAAAACGGGTACCGGATGACTGGTGTAAAGCAGTTATAGTACCAATATATAAAGGAAAAGGGTCACAGCAGAACTGCAAAAACTACCGTGGAATCAGCTTGCTTAGTATTGTGGGTAAAATGTATGCTAAGGTGTTAATTGAAAGAGTTATGAAAGAAACTGATGGAAAAATTTGGGATGTGCCAGCGGGTTTTAGAAAGGGAATGGGGTGTACAGATCAAGTCTTTTCCATGCGCATGATTGCGGAGAAGTTTTTGGCCAAAAACCAGAAAGTTGGCATCATAATGAAGATGGACATGAATGTGTTATGGCAAACACTGAACTCATATGGGTTGAGCGCTGGTTTAACACAGGCATTAAGGTCTCTTTATAGGGACTCTAGTGCTTGTGTCAGGATCAATGGGGTCTACTCGGACTGGTTTGGCATCCAAAAAGGTGTCAGACAGGGCTGTGTAGCTTCCCCTTGGCTGTTCAACCTATTTATGGACAGGTGTTTGCATACTTTGAAAGATGAAGAATGTGGGTTAAGAATGGGCGAGTTAACCGTCAAATGCCTTTTGTATGCCGATGATCAAGTCATATTTGCGTCATCGGCGGCTGAGTTGCAAATGATGGTTACATTAATGGACTGGGAATTAAAAGAAAGGGGAATGAAAGTGAACGCAAGTAAGACGAAAGTGATGGTTTTTGAAAGAGAAGAAAGCAAAACGGTATGTGAAATAAGAATAGAAGGAAAGTCAAGTGGATGAGTTTGTGTATTTAGGATGTGTATTTAGCAGGGATGGTAGATATGATAGGGATATAGAACGACGAGTAAATGCAGGGAATAGAGTGAATGGGGCACTACACTCTATTGTGAAGAACCAGAATGTGTCAAAAAAGGCACGTATGGTAATTCATAATGCTGTGTTAGTCCCTACTTTAATGTATGGTAGTGAAAGCTGGGTGTGGCAGAAGAAGCACGAAAGTAGAATAAATGCTGTAGAAATGCGGTCTTTAAGGAGTATGCTAGGGTTGAATCTGAATGACAGGGTGAGAAATTGCGTGATAAGAGATAAATGTGGTATGCAAGATGATGTTGTGACCAGGATTAAGAAAGGAATGCTTCGGTGGTTTGGTCATGTAGAAAGAATGAATGAGGAAAGAGTGACAAAGCAAATTTATATGGCAGATGTGAACGGCCGAGTCGGGAAGGGACGCCCTAGAAAAAAGTTTATTGACCAAATTGGCGATATTTTGAAAAGGGGCCACGTTAGAAGGACCCTTAACCGACGAGCATGTATGCGTAGATATATGGATGTAAGGGAGGCGAAAGAGGTATGTCAGGATCGTGCCAAATGGAAGTCCGTAGTCTCTGCCTACCCCTCTGGGTGACAGGCGTGAGTGTTTATAAAAAAAATGTGAACACAATATGGAAAGATTAAAGGTTTTTAAAACTGATCTTCGAGGCGTATCTTTAGCTCCTTAAACGATTTCGATGTAATACTTTCGGCTTAACAAACGTAAGGTTCTTAAAGTGAAAGCGTGACAAACGAGCCTACAGTTCAATTGAGTTGTCACCTCTGAAGACTAAGATAAAATTCTTAGCTTCCTCTAAAAAGGGATCTCCAGTTCTCTACACTCACCATACGAAACACAGCAGCATTTAGCTGCTATTTTACGCTGGTATAATGCGGTCCTTCCCCGGATGAGCCGATCGATTCGTCAATTTATAAGAGTTGCAACATAGTGCTAACACGTTAACCGAACATTGTTCTTGAATTCCTTTGTTGTTGTAGAATGTTTATGGGATGCCGTATTCAGTTACCATCAAGTGATTCACACTCTCTGTGGTAAAAAATATCCACAAAGTTTTTTTTTCGTTTAGGTAAAATA